GGATGTATAAAATATCTTGATTCGAAGGGATTTGAAGTACTTGAGAAGAACCGCGGCTTATGGGCGATAAATTCAGGAAGTCTTCTTGAGAGAACTTAACAATGTTTATGATGTGGCGCTTGAGTAAATGAAATGCAAAATTTCCCGCTGGAAGTTTTTAGTGAGGCTCATATATTTTCTGAACATTCATGCTGAAATTGCATCAAAGCAACAATCCACTGGTGAATGGCAAATTCCAATTAAAGATAAAATCGAATTGTCGGTTTTCCTTCCACAATGCTCCAGTATATATCAGATCGAAACCACAACCGCTCCGCGAAGCATAAAGATAAAATGATTAAAAAGTTGTTAAAATAAATACAATTCAGTCAGCTAAAAATCAATGCCCAGCATATCCGGATTTAAAAATAATAAATAATGTATACCTCCTGCGCCCAAAGTCAGGCAAATTTATGTGAGCTGTAAGAATGAGACCAATAATTAATGCTCACTATAAGATGGACTGATCTATTCAATTCTAAGTTACACTCAAAAGTTTTTAGGTTATACACAGGTAAATTTTAAAAAATAATTATTTGAACTCATTTGAATGACCGAAGATCTTTAGCCAGATTCTGTGCTTGAATTGATCATTCGATTTCTTGCATGATGATATCTTTGGATAACCGTTTTTGAAAGCACCGTTTTATGCAGTGTTCAATCAGCGTAGTATATTTTTTGCGTATTCATTTCAAAGATTGTGCTTGCAGCAGAAACTTTTAAACTGACAAAGAATTCTACCCGCTGATTCGTGAACTTCAAACAAGGGTTTCAAACTCTTTTTTTTAATCCCCTCAGCAAGGCCAGATAAAAAAAAGTGCTTTTCCACTGACAAGTCCAGGAACCTCTCGATCTATCGAACCGGTTTCGAGAATGCATTCCCGCTAAATTTCGCTCGTTTCTTGCTTTTTAAGAAGTGTTGGCCCTTTTCTCACGACCTCTGGGATTCGTGGCTTTCCCAAGTGCTTTACACTTGAGACTTCCTCTGGTAATGCGAGTGCGGATACAGGCCACCCAAAAATAAATGGTCATATTGTTCGGCGATCGTTGGCCTGCGGAGAATGAGGCTCATCTGCCCCGCACTTTGATGGATGAAAAAGAAGGGGATTTTATTTTATTCTTAGTTGCCATCATGGGATACATTTTGAAGCAAGAGCCGAATAACAGGTGCTTCGAAGGACATCATTCTTTTACTCTCATCTGCAGTCCCCAGAGATGGGCCTCAAGCTGGTGGAAAAGCCGGCAGGGGAAGGAATCTCTGACACGTGATTAATCGACAGGTCAAGAAGCTGGAATATTGGCACGGATTGGCCTCTGCAACGGTAGTTAACCCCTGCAGGAATCAGCAGCAAATCACATCCTGGAGAAACTTTTTTTTTGCGGGGTCGAATCGTTTCTTGCGTGTCGAGTTCGTTCAACTTTAGAACAGGGCACTCATGAAATCGCGCATCCTGACACGACAAGAAGCTGATTTATTGCTTCACCATAATTCGCATAAAACTATAGTTGGCAATTTATGGTAATTTCCCCTCACGTTCAAATTAACTTCAGAACTACTTTCGCTCAAAATCTTCACCCGAAAGCCGACAATTAATTGTATTTATTGTGCTTAGTTTTATAGAGCGTCCTAAACGTGATTAGGAAATGCGAAATTTGCAATTCAAATCATGGATTATTCGATCGTTTCCTCACGAATTTAGAGGTCTTCCTATATGGTTAGATGTCACTGTCTGACACCACTGCATATTCATATCGCTTATGTTTTCTTTCGTTCTATCTACTTCTGATTTTTGTGTGCTTTGGATCGTGGACTGCTAGGGAAAAACTAAATCTTCCATGTATACGTCAGCTACCTTCCTCAGAACAGTTCATGCTCGGGAACATGTTAGTATTGGACCCATACTGGAATAAACGTTCTTATTGTCGTAATAATGACACGAAATGTCTTTATAAATATGATATTATTCTATGTGTGGTGGCAAATCACATTTGACAATAGATAAGCATTGGGCTTCAGTGTGGTAAATCCTTTATGTAAAATAATCAAGACATTTCTCTCTTTCTCTGCTTTCAGGGATCGTTCTCAGACTTTCTTTGCGTATTGGCGTGGTTTGTGAATTCCATCATTTGAAGCACTGTAAAATATTTAATTTTCCACCGAAAACGACTTTTTGAGCTAATGCTCATGTGTTATTTAAAACTTCAACTTTGACGGTATCGGGAAAGCCGCATAGAATCGATCAAGAAGCCTAAATGACGACATGAGATACCCTTTGTGGTCGGAATTAGGGTGTGATAAAAATTGAATCTTTACGTCAGACAATTTTTTCAGGATCATACCTGGGAAGAATAAATAATGAGAGGTTACTAATTTTACCAATTTTTTCCTAATTTTAGGAATATTGAGTAAATAATTAAGAAATTCCTGCTTTTCCGGCGATTGTTCTCTTTCGAGTGTTTATCACAAACGTTGATTCAAAGCCTGCATGAATTCTAAATTCCGTTTCTTGAAACACGGCAGAACGCTGACTTTTACACAAACCAAACTTTTTTGGGCACCGTATTTGTTGCTCGGGTGTTATTTGGAGCTTCAACTGGGACGGTGTAGAAAAAGCCGGATATAATCTATCATGAAACCCAAATAACGACATGAGATACCCTTCGTGGTCGGAATTAGGGTGTGATAAAAATTGAATCATGACTTCAGATACCTTTTCCAGGATCATACCATCAGGGGAGAAACACTGAGGGTTTACTCGCTCTCGCGATCTGCTTTGATGTAGCTTTTTCCATGCCCGGGGAAGTCAGCTAGCTGATGATGCACACGCATCGGGTTCTCTGCGGTCTTCCCGAGGTCAAACGCTGGGCAAATAAAACCTCCGGAGCTCGGGGCGCATTCCAATAAGCCTGCCGAAAAAAGGAAAACATCCTGGGGTTCCGTGTGGCGAAATTCAAAATCCTCACGGGCCCGAAGGGACCTCTTGCCATTTCTTTTTCTCCTTCCATTCCCACGCTGAAAAACAGCACTTTTTTTGCATGCTAGATTGTCAGTTCAGGAGTGATCTCGAGGGTGATAATCGGCGCTGTGCCGACGCATGTTAATGTCTGCCCCGGGCTTGTGTGGAATAAACTTCTTTTTTTTTTCTTCTGGCGTCTGCAGCGAAAGTCACGTTCTTGGGAGACGATCCTATCAATGCAAATCGCTTGTCGATCACGCGTCATTCAAAATCTATGCACATTTCACTTCAGTTCCCCACGGTTACTTCCGACCATTCACTGTCACGTTTCTTCGTAACGGAGTCCGCGTGACAAATGCAGTTCAACTACGCCACACGAAAAAAAGGAAAAAAAATACCTTGGAATATTTTTTTTGCGTCGTATATGAATGAAGAATGGGCGAAAAAGTGGCCGGGCTAAAAGACATCAGTCTCTGCCAGCGATTTCTTCCCGAGGCCCGAGCATTTTGATTTCAAAGTTCGACTTGAAGAGGAAATCTTGACTTCTTATCTAAAGATATTCCGAATGGAATGTGCACGTACGTTTTTCAATGTCTCTCTCATAGAATATAATATGGCTCGAAATGTGCACATTTGGGATACGATGGGAGATTTTGGGATAGGATTTTGAAAACCCTATCCCTGTTTCGTTTTTTCTGCAGAAATAAGATGTGTTTGGCTATTTTTTCTGCGAAGGTCTGACAGATTTGTGTCTCATTTTGCGACTTGAGATGTTAGAATCCTGCAAATCCCCAAAATCTGAATGATTTCTGTATAATGGTAACAAATAGAATTCAGACTGACTGACAAATAATAGTTTCTTCTCTTTCAGATGACATTCTTGAATTAGGCCATATTCAGAGAGAATCCCCCATATATACAGTCATTTCCCAACGGCTGGGCAACGAGTAACCTACTTTTTTTTTGCAACCCACTGCTGTGAAAATATAATTATATTAATCTAATTATGTAATGCGTGCACGAAAACTGTTCTAGAACTCATTTTACGAACGGTGTAAATAATTTGTTTTAGAAAATCGGCAATTGCACTGCGATAAAAACCAGATATACTCGCTTTGCAATCCTTTTGTAACTTTATGAATCCCGTTCGACGTGCTTTTTTTCGAAAAGAAAAATACAGTACAACCACGTGGCTGGTTTTTTACCCCTACCCCGAGGGTAGATGAGATGACCTGACCTCTCGTCCTCTGCTGGTGCCTATCGCGGGCTGTAATCGGTTTGGAGTCAAAGCACCGTCTGCCCGCTTGTTTTGATGCAAGTTTCTCATCACGCATCGCTTCCATCGAAGGGTCGGGCACAATATGTTGTGATGATTTTCCCCGCATTATAATGGCTTTTTTCTTTCAGGCAGTCTTGCTGGCTTCTTGAATAACAAGCCATGTCATTTACGTGGTATAACGAAGCCAAATAACCAAGCCTTTGAACGAGATATCACAATAAGAGCTCACCTGCGTTTGTGAGACTTCTATTTTGATTGAGAACACACTGCGCATGAAAATAAGTTTAAGTGTTTTTTCTCGTTTTATCTTTGAATAGTTTTTACAGGATGAAAAGCTGTTCAGGCTGCTGTTTAAAGTGACGGTTCACTTACAGAACATTTCTTCCAGAGGATCAAATGATCCTCTAAAACGCATTGGCGAACTTCTCAGCTTGAAGAATCAAAAAGGCGAAGATTAGAATGTGCAACAGTTCCTTTCAAGAGACTATTTTTTTCAAAGTTCCATGGCAATTTTAATAGACCGAATAAGTTCGAGATTATTTGACGTATAATCAATTGCCAACCAATCTGGAAATATGTGGCGGTTTTGAACGGGCTGACAATTTCGGTCTTCCCTGAGATTTCTAGAAATCTTTCAGCTCCAGAATGCATTTTGAATTGAAATGTTTCAAAAACATGCGCTTGATTTTTTTTTTTTCTGGCATCATCCCTTGTTTCTTCCACAGTTGCTGTAGTGATTGCGTTCTTCATCTGCTGGGCACCTTATCATGCCCAGAGACTGTTCTCTATATACTCGAGCGGATACGAGTCGACGGAACCTGACGAGACTTTTCGGATGGTGCATTTCGCTCTGACGACGATTTCGGGGATTCTTTACTACGTGTCGGCCACCATCAACCCGATCCTCTACCACATTCTCTGCTCGCGATTTCGCGTGGCTTTCAAGGTGAGTGAATTTAGTCGGAGTTCACTCCGGTTCGTCGCATGTCATATATAAAATCCTGTAGACAGCTGCTTGTTCTGGATCTGTCGTCTCAATTCCATTTCCAACTTATCTAAAAATAAAAAAGATCCCTCTGTTACTGTAAATCTCAATTGTTATCGTTTCAGCGTAAGTGGTGATTTCTGCTTCAATTATTGTCCAGCTATATTACAAACATAACAATGCTATCATCTATGCTTTCGCGAAAATTCAGGATGCTACTGGAATTTTTGTGCTTTTCCGAGGTAAAGAGACGCCAGATTTGGAAATAATGCGATGCAAGAAAAGATCTTGCTGTGTAAATAATGGAATGGAAATGATGCATGCCTTCGCGCTTCGAACAGCATGTAAGTCAGAGCTTCACATTCTGAGAAGCAGTTTGCTCGCAGTTTTTCTTTTTTTTTTTCTTGCACAACACGAGATTTTTTTCGTGTATTTTTTTACCTACTCGAATATGAAAACAGTATAGTATCTGAACTCGATAGATAGAGCTAGCAGTTTCAAGATATATTATGTACAAAGTTCGTATCTCCAATTGAGATGAATCGTCATGTGCTCATATACATTACTTTCATTGTACCTCTCCTATAAGGAAACGCATGAAGTTTAAACCCACTAAAAGGGATGAATTATTCTAAAAAAAGTTGGAGGTAATATATATCAACCACTTTTTTCCCCGGGTCGAAAGCAAGTTGATTTCCAGGATTTCCTGAAAAAAGAATTGCTTTAGTTGCGCATTTTTCAGAGGCTCTTAAGCCCGAGTTAATATTGAAAGTAAGACATTTCAATAAACTAACACATGCAAGGTATGTTCTTCGATTTATATTTGAAGCGTTAAAGGAAAAATAATTTATTTTGCTCATTTTTGACGCTTGGAAAGAAATCATCAGCGATACACACATTTTATGCTGCATTTTGATTGTGAAATGTGCTCCGAGAGCGAGAAAGGTAGGACACCATTTGCTTCAGATATTTTAAGGCGAAATCAGCGCTGGCAAATCTACCGCGCCAATTCCAGTCCGAGAGCATTGTCCTATCCGACTAATTGTTCTGCAGTGCGCAGAAACAGGAAGGCAGGCTTGTTCCGGGTAGTTTTTTGCCGAGAATGAACCCAGGGATGCGTTTGATGGCCCGGAGCGCCATAATGAAGTTCCCTTGTTGCCGCGGTTGCCAAAATATACGCGGGTGACGTCACGCTTCCCGCATTTCATGGCGGGGAGAGAAAAAAAAAACCCTGTGGGCCTACTTGAATGCTGAGGGGGTGGAAAAGAACAAAGGCTCATGAATAATCCCTTGCTGGCTCGTGGCAAGAACGATCATGTGACGGGAAACTTCCAAATATCCTTGGACTTTCTGCATTCACACATTCCGCCCCCTCGCATCATATCTGGCTCTGTGTTTCAACTGACTCATGTTTTTCTAAAAAAAAAAAAGAAAAAAAAACAGATTGCATCCGGAACTCCTGAAGGCTTTTTCAAAAATTTCCCTCGGAATTTAAGCGAAATTTTCTGCTACAGACCACGGCTGCGAAGCTCGGAAGTGATGCTTGTTGAAAATTTGTTTAATTAATTTCCATTCGTCACTTTTTTCTTCTTGAGGTATATGATAGTTCTTGAGCAATGAACTGACAGTTTCAAGTGCCAGAGACACCCAATTTTGCAAAACGCACAATTTTTTGCGGGTTTCGGTAAATTTTGCGGCAATTTTCATCTGCTGGCAGAATCATCGAAGAGGCCAAAAGATCACTGTGCCCGTATATCCTAAATACTGTACAAAAGTCATGCACGAATGTATTTTTCAGAGTTGTTCCTCATCATAAAACCTGCTATAAACGAACACCGATGATAAAAAAAAAAACTGTATTCGATGCTACAAAGATTTCATGAATATTAAGTCATTTAGCTAAGTCCTCTTTGTCAGACTGGCGTAAAATCGTACAAGCTTTACGAATTAAATCATATCTACGCATGAATTCTGTTGAATTTTGATGAGACCATGAATAGAAAGCAGTTTCTCATCTTTTGTCAGTTGCGAAGCAAAATCCAAACTGACAGGAAACAATTACATGATGATTGCATTCCCACTGATGATGAAGCAAAGGATAGTTTCGCATCAGGAAAAAATAAAGCCTTCGGTCTAAATTTTGACAGCAATGAAGTGAAAAAGCAGTCGACAGATTACCAAAATAGAAGCATCCCAGAACGAAACTTCTCCTCACCCCACGTTCGTTCACTGGCTTTTGGCAATAAAAAGGGACGAAAAAAAAAACTTTTCCACGTGGGGAATGCTTTTTCGTATCCTTCTTGATATTGCCTCAATATTTCAAAGTTGATGAGCACGTCACGGGGAGGCGTTTCGCAACGGCTTCGCAAGAAGCCGCAACAACTGTCTACAGCACTCCTGAGTGAACTTCGCCAGAAATCTCTTTTGTCCCTTTAACGCTCTTGACATCCATGTTCCCGGTGCTTAAGGGTTTTCCGAACTCTCGACAAGAAAACACGGGGCTCTGTCCGCAAGATTCATGCTATAAAAATTGAATCAAAGTCTGTGACATGCCTGGTTACTTTCGTCAGTCCTCGTCTTATAGATAGGCGGTATGTATTCGAGTCTCTGAGAAAGAAGGCGTTTTTCTCGAAAATTTCGGTCCTTATTCCTTTCATGCTTCTCTCTTCACTTGCCCACTGCTCCAGATATTTTTGAACCACGAACGTTTGGAGCCATGGAAGTTTCTCGAGCTCGACGAAGTGCAGCTTGGCGAAAAACTCGATTTTCTCTTGAAGTATGATGGAGCCTTTAAAAAAAATGGAAAAATCAGTTGAAGCGGTTTCCGGCGAATTTGTGGGCGCAATCGAGGCCCTTCGAACCAGAAATCTCTTGACGTCGGAGGGCACATATTCGTCGCATTATCGGTCACACCGTCAGGTCTTGCACGGTTCGTTCGCTCGTTTGCTCTTATCCCACGGGGACGAGGTTGGCAGGTCGGGAACTGAAGGGTGCAGGGTCAAGTGAGAGCCGAGGCCGAATGAGCGCCACCTAACCTAGCGCCAGGAAAAAATTAGAGTCATCCAACTGAGCAGCATTTTCATGGCGAGAAGCTTGATTTACAAAAGCGTCAAGTGATTTTTATTATAATGTGGGCAGAGGTTTTTTTTTGCAGAATCTGCTGTATAATGGCCATTGTCTAAAAGATCATGACGCAATCCTGTAAATTTTAGGCGTTCACTCCCTTCGAATTTTTGAAAATCTGAAGACAATTCTCCTGTCTCTAAATACTGTGTAAAAGAAACAATGGAAAAGAAATCGATCCCTCGAATTGGCACCTTGTTCAGTGTGCAATGAACAGCTCCCGACCTTTTTCTCCAATAAGTCCAATTGTGTGTGGTTACATGTTTAAAAGTATCGTAGGATGCCATAAAATGTCTGAATAAGAAGAGATGAGGAGTGCAGGAGCATTTAAGCAGCTCGTGAGCAATATATACGAAAAGTTCTCTTTAGAGATGTTCGTGGTATATATGATACTATTTGGAGAAAAAAAATAAGGAAATTTTCTCAAATGGCGTTTTCGGAGAGACTAACTTCATTCCGGAGTTTAAACGGTAAAATTTCTCTGCATAAAAGGTCACCACATATACAGACATTTAATCAAAGATGAAACAAAAATCCCTAGTTCACTGCGCGCAAGCACATTGAGATGCAGTTTCGAATTACAAAAGCTTAATGAAAAATAAAGATAAAAATAATGCAAAGCTGTCAAATGTTAGCTTGTTCATTTCTCTAAAAATCTATACCTGAATTACAATAACAAGATCAATGAATAAATCCTGTCTTCGTTAAGTATTTTTCAGAGATCAACCAAGGATTGATGCAAAATTTTAAAGCCTCCTTCTAAGGTAAACAAAATCGTATTCAATTTCAAGCGACAAACAGAATTAGTTCCCCCAGCTATGTTTTTGTGAAAGGCAATATTTCTTCACATGTTAATGGGCCATTCATCAGTTTTTCGGAATTTGAAGGAAAAATTCAAATGTTTTGAGGCATTTCGGGGGATTTAAAAAAATAAGTCCTACTGTTGCATTGTTTAGATTTTGGATGATAAATGTACGAAACTATGACTTGATGCGGAGTCGGGAGGTGTTTTGATGGTATCCCTTGTAGCTCAGCACTTTTTTTCCTGACGCTCAGTTGGACGGCGCTCATTTAAGCGGCGCTCAGTTGGGAACAGAGGACGGAAAAACTGACGGAGCCTCGTCCCACGCTTCTCATGCAGCGTCTCCCCTCGGGGCTGTCCGGATATTAATCTTCTGCATGTCCGGTCTGTTACGGTGACCCACTCACTCATACTCAAGTCGAAAAAAAAAATCACTGAGGAAAAGCTAGACTCTGTACTATTTTTAGATTCGAACTACAAAGAGTTCGCACGGCGCAGCACGACAGGTTAACGAGCCAAGAGAGTGTGACCTTCAGTGCATTATATGACGGCATGAACTGAATTCAGATCATGAAATGTAACATTGGGAACTTTTTAACGATCGCCGGACGTGGATTTCATGCGATCACTTTACTGCGTAGCCAAGGGGCTCGAATAAATAAATATGATTACAAGCAGCACCATGCAGTGTCTATATTACAATATTTTACGCATTTCATTACGCGTTTTACCTCGAAATTCGAGAAATGATGGCGTCTGGAAATGATAAGTATCTCATTTTATTCGTCTCGCAACGAGTAGCTGGAGCTTCCATTTCTATTTCTTACTGGACTTCACTGGCTTACTGCAAGCTCATGCTCTTTTGCTGTCCTTTTATAAACGTGTAAAAAATGACCTCTTTATAAAAAAGTCACTATAACGGCACTTCAATGTACCGTATTATGTTTGCATGGGCAATTTAATTCATCAAAGAAAAATCAAATAGGTTATCAATTTTTAGGTTCCCCTTTTTACTATAAAGGATTTACTGAATCGTAATTGAAAAATTGTGTACTCTTTTTTTAAGCTTTAAAAATAGTCGCGCAGTTTTCAGGGCATCGTAAATCAAGTAGAAATACGCGACTTTGCGAAAACATTTTCAGTAAAAGTTAAGAACTGGAAAATAGATATGCATTCCAGATTCGCTGCTGCTGTTGTGTTATTCAGTGTTCACTCTATTATAGCAGCTGCAAGAATGCTGAGTGCAAGAACAAATGAATCAAACGTTGAAGGGGTATCCAAACCCACGGAGGCCAATTGACGGCGGCAAGTACTTCGCATTTAATTTGCTGCGTTTGCACTGAATATTCACGCTCCGTTCCCTGAGTTGAATTAAGCTTACATGTCCCATGTTTGCACTTACAATTGAGATATAACTGCATCCGAATTTCGGGGGAATTCGATGCATTATCTCGTTTCCGACGCAATATTCGCTCTTCTGCGGAATAAAAGCTGCAGAAATAAATTCCGATCGCAGGAGTTGCGGGCAGGCCCGGAGGGCA